CCCCCCAAAAGCTTGGCCAAACACCTCAAGTTAGGAAAGAAGGTGCTTTTGGGAAAAAAAATACTTTTGGCCTCTTGAGAAGCTTAGCCAAACAGGCTATAAGTCAGTTTAAGCATGGTAATTTGGTAGCAGTTAAGGTTAATTTCTAAAAAAAAAATTGTTTACCCCTAAAATCCGAGTAACAATTAAATTTATATTGAGGTCTTAAAGATATGTGATCTAGTTCCATACTAACTGATAATCAAGAAATCGAACGTATAAATCAAGGAAGTAAGTTGAATCAAACTAGTGTGCGCGCAAGTCTTGACCTCGAGCTAAGGTGGCCTCGAGGTAGGTCAGTAAGAACAATAATGTAAGAACAATAAAGTTAAAAAATAATTCTGATGAGTTATGAGCAAGAAAGTAAAGAATGTATATTCCGTTGCCAATGATTGATTATCTTACAAATAAATGGGCTCCCCTTTATATAATAGAGGAATCCTAAATAAGGTACATTTCCGTTTTTAGTAAGGAAACTAATTGGACAGCTGTTTAACTGCTAGTATGAATCCGTACAAATCCGTTCCGGAATTTACGCATTGATCTTTGGGCCATTGCTGGAATCTTGCTTTTTCTGTTATAAAACCACAATGGCATTATCTCGAGGCTGGTCTGGCCCTGATATTCATCGGATACTTCGATCTTCAAGCTTCGAACTCCGCCATCGGGCTCGAGCCCAATCTATTTCGGACTTATTCTTGAAGCAGTTCCTCGAGCTCACTAGATCAGACATACCTAATTTTGACTGTATACAGATAGTCCATGCGTTTCTTAGAATAAGATGAAAAGAAACGATTTGAGCCTCGGTTTTTCGGCGTCCCTGATGATGACGTCATCCCCGTGACGTAATCACTCGAGGTGACCTTAACATCCCGTTAGTTCGCTTCCCCAAAACATTAAATGCGTGCCAGTAGTGGTCGGCCACCATCGCCGCCGAACCATCGCCGCTTGCCTATAAATACACGGTTCCTTATTTGAATTAAGGACTTTACTTCTTCCTTGCAATTTCTCTAATCTCTCCTTCTCTTCATCTCTCTCTCATTCGTTACTTGCTTCTCCGCCCTTTTTGTGTCAAAAATCATCAAACCCCATCTCTTTCTGCTTCTTTTAACCTGAAGTAATGGCGAAAACTTCAAAAATCGTTCCCCAAAAAGAGAAAAAAATCCTCCTCATCTTCCCGTCTGGTCGGCGACAAGGCGCCGACCCTTCACGAGATCGTTCCCAGCGCCTGCATCATAAAGAAGGATTTCAAAGTTGAAAATCCCCCCCGTGGTTCCTGGCCGATGTGAACATGCATCGAGGGATATCTGTTTGATAATGGAGAAACACCTTGAGGCCATGAAAAATGATTGCGACTGGGGGGATGGGCCGTGGTATAGATCCTCACCCTCGAGGAGAGTATCACCACTCACGTGGAGGGGTTCATAAGAGTTTACACTTACCCCTTCATATTGGGTCCCCTCGATCCAATCGTGATCGTCTGTAAAAGATACCAAGTCACTCTCGGCCAAATCCATCCCTCTTTCTAGCGAATAGTGATCATGCTTCGCTACTTCTCTAGCAAGGCCGAGGGGCTTGAGTTCACTCTCAGTTATCTTATCCGATTGTACCGGCCTTAGCTCTTCCGAGGGTTGATCAAGCTCCAACACCGGTCGACTAAGTACTTCTTTGCCGGCATCAACGAGGATAAAGAACGGGGCTGTATGAGCCAGTTTATTCAAGTGAGGACCTGCGACATCATCATTAAGGAGAAAATGTCATTCCCAGAGGAGTGGAACCCCGACCATAAGTGAAGTTGTTTCCTCGGTAATTTTCTGTATTTCGTTTATGCATTGCATGATGCGTTCATCTTTTTTGCAGCGGTCGCTTGGATGCCCCATGTGGTCCTCGATCTTGAAGACTAGGTCCAGAAATTAGTTGCGACCTCCTCGTATGACGAACACCGCTGGCGTGATTTGGCGAGGGGCAGATAGGAAGCCAAACACCACGGTGAGTTCTTCTTGTAAGTTTTTGACGTCTTCTTCTTTATCGTAGACATTTCTTTTCTCATACCTAGTTTTTGTTTATGCAGCATTGGAGATTTCTCCGAAATGAGGCTGGACCTTCCTAGGGAAGAGATCGAGTCCTCCATTCCAAAATCGGGGAAAGATAATAAGAGGAAATTTTTTTTGAAGCCCGAAGACCCCCAAGACAAAAGGGCTCCTACTTGAAGACGTAGGAGGGACGTCATTCGTTTGGACATAGACTCAATCCACCGGTTTCAAGATGATGAAAAAGATGAGGGCGAGGGCTCAGCACTGGTGGCCCAAGCCAGAATGCCAATCGAGACTGCCAAACCCTCCGAACTGGAGACCCTGCCTCATGGTGAGGAAACTCTGAAGAAAGACGTGAGTAAAGCCCCCGAATCGCCCGAGGTCGTGATTGTTTCTCAGCTTTCAATAAGCACACCTGAGGGGGCAAGTTCAAAAACTCTAGCACCAGACAGAACGCCCCGGGCGATTTGCTCGGGGCCGTGACATTAGGTCATTCTCCTTCTCTGCTGTCTTACTCCAAGGAGGCCATAAGATAGGCTTGGGACTTGTAGACGCCTGACCTAGGTAGAGTCCCCAGTGAAGAAGATACTTTCCGGAATTGCTTTACCGGGGTCGATGATGCTGCCGAACTCAACATCGCATCTTCCCTCTTCGAAGAGGCTCAATGTATTTTCACTCGAGTATGCATCAAGTCCTACTTGTTGCAATTTTCTCTTCCTTCTTCTTCTCATCATCCTAACTGATATCTTTTTTTACTGTGTAGGCTCTTGGTAAGTTCGAGGCCGATCTGAGCCAATGCAAGGCCGAGCTCTAGAAGGCCATGGATGAATGGAAGGCTCTGAAACTACTTTGCAGTTAGAAGAAGGAGGAACTCAAGGACCTTCAGGCAGACTTGGTCAAGGCTAGTAAAAATGAGGCCGAGCTAGACAAGCAGGTAACTGTAATTTTGAAAGAGTATAATCTACTCGACCCAACTATGGAGGCTAACACTTCAGTGTCTCAGCTGCAGCAAAAACTGGAGATGATGAGGCAGCTTCGAGGAGAGATCAATCAGGTAAATGCCGACTGATCGGTGGAAGGAAAATATGGACCGCCTGGCTGCGGAGAACGAGGCTGCGCTAGCCAAACTAGCATCGACTGGGACCCAGCTCCGGGTTGCTAAAGAGAAAAATTCGGCCCAGGTCAAGAGGATTGACGAACTCGAGGTCAAACTTGCCGAAGCCAGAATGAAGGTCGCTGAGGCCAGGGTAGAGGTCGAGAAGACGAATGCCACGACTGATAAACCGTTGCCGTGTACTTAAGGGATGCTGAGGATGCTCAAGCGGAGCTAAGGTAAGCCTCCACGTACTTAAGGGATGCTGAGGATGATCAAGCGGAGCTAAGGTAAGCCTCCGACAGGGAAAATAGAGTAATGATTTGTCCAAGTGCCAATCCCGGAGGGAGACCCTCGAAGAAATCCATGCTCGAGGCTTCGATCTCACTGAAGATATAACTCAAGCGAAGGTGCTTAAAAGCGATGCCAGATTCCTCGTCTCCTCCTCCTCTGATGATGATGATGAAAGCAGCTAAGGCGGGTCCAACAATGATGAGGAAGTTGCTCCTGAGGGAGAAACCAACCCCGAGCATAGTTAGGAATTTTTTCTCTCTTTTTGTATTTTTCTTTTTGTAAGACCTCTTGTCGCTCCCTTATACATATATTTTTCAAGTAATAAAAGAAAAAATTTCCTTGAATGCCATCTTAATGTTTCTTGCCTTACAAAATTCTTGCAATGATTTCATTCTTTGAATGGTGTGTTCGAGATTCTATCTCGGATGGTTTTCTTGAAGTTGTTGTGGTCGAGCTCGAATAAGGTTCGAACATTTGGGGTGTAGACCCTAAAGGGCTTGTGTCGGATAATGGTGAGTCCCCGAGCCACAACCAAGTTATTTTTATTTGGGCTCGGGGTCTTTGAACCCTTGGGTTCGGATTGGGTGAGAGCAAGATCTCGAACCCTAAATGTATTGGCCGTTAGGATTTTTTAGATCGGGCCATTATGGCCTCTAATAGATGCCTATTATTTCCCCTTTTCGGCTTAAAGACTTAGTAAAAATTTCCTTATGCCTTGGCATTCATTTTTTACCCATTGGGTTTTTTAAGGGTTTAGTGTCGATCGGAACCTTTTTGTTTCTTGTGCCTTAGCACAAGTTTGTATTTGAATAATTTGATACCTCTTAAGATTTTTTAAGGGCTGATTTTATCGAAGCCCTTTGATTATTTTGCCGAGGGTAACCTTTATTAGCCGGTTTTTAGAAAAATTCGAAGGCCTGTTTTTATTGCGGGATTCGGACATCTCCGAGCCGCGTTATTTTGGTCGTAGCCTTTAATATGGCTGTAGCCTTCGGATATGCCTCTTGGACTTATTTTCCGATAACATTTTGAACTTGTTCGAAATGTAAGTCCCCGAGTATGATGACCTTGGCCTTTACGTCGAGGGGTGCCTCTTAGAGGTCTTATTAATTCGAGTTTAGATAACTCGAATGTGTTTGTCTGTCGTCAACAGTCCCCGAGTATTCGAGGTGTATTTGCGTTTTGGCCCTTGAGCTGTTTCTCATAGAATCACGAGTATAGAGCTTGTAAAGTAACAAATTTCTTTGAGACACAAAATATTTGATATAGAAGGAATGTTTCTTTGAATAATTTATACATGTGTACATGTATTGCCATCGGGCTCGACTATTCTATATGGATACGATTCATCTGAGCGTTTGGCCCATTACAAAGCTTTTCTCTCGAACACCTTTTGGCGTGAAGTATTTTTCTCGAAAATATAACCTCCGAGGGTGATTCCCCCCAGTATTCGAGGTTGATTAAAGAGAAGCCTTGGATACTGTTGAATTCTGCTTAGGTAGCACATAGTTGTTGCCTTGTTAAAAACCTCGCCGGAAAACCCTATTTGGTATAAAAATCGGACTAAGGGAAAAAGATTGCAACGTGTGCTTTAAAACCTAAGATCTTCATGTTAAAAGGTTTCCTTGACTTCTTGATCGAACACCTTAGTAATAATATCATTTGAGTCGTGACACGTTCCAATTATTTGGCAATTGTTCGCCTTCCATCATACCAAGCTTGTAAGATCCCTTTCCAATGATACCAATGACTCGATATGGTCCTTCCCAATTCGATCCTAGTTTCCCTTCATTTGGGTCTCGAGTATTGAGGGTGAATTTCCTTAAAACTAAGTCCCCGATTCCGAAACGGCAAAGGTTGGCCCTCCTGTTGTAAAATCTCTTGATTCTTTGCTTCTGTACAACCATCCGAACAAGCGCAATTTCTCGTTTTTCATCCAATAGCTCGAGTCTAGTAATCATAGCCTCGTGATTTGATTCCTCTACTACATGCCGAAATCGGGCACTAGGTTCGCCAACCTCAACTAGGATTAATGCCTCGGAGCCATATACTAAGGAGAACGGGGTTGCCCCTCTACTGGATTTTGACATTGTTCGGTATGCCCAAAGGACTTCGGGTAGAATTTCTCTCCATTTACTTAGCGTTGCTCAACCATTTCTTTTAGTTTTGGATAATAGTTTTGTTCGTGGATTCGGCCTGTCCGTTTGCGCTCGGATAATACGACATCGATAAGATCCTTTTTATCTTGTGTTCCTCGAGGAACTTCGTTACCTTGCTGCCGATGAATTACTTTCCGTTGTCGCATACGACTTCAAGAGGTATCCCGAATCGACACACGATGTGATCCCATATGAAATCTATAACTTCTTTTTCTCTGACCTTTTCGAAGGCATGTGCTTCCACCCATTTAGAAAAGTAGTCAGTCATAAACACAATGAATTTAGCTTTACCTGGGGCCGTTGGCAGATGGCCGACGATTTCCATCCCCCATTTTATGAATTGCCATGGGGATAGGAATTAATGAAGTTGTTCTCCAGGTTGATGGATCATTGGTGCAAACCTTTGACATTTATCACATTTTCGAACAAACTCCCTAGTGTCTTTTTCCATGTTATCCCAGTAGTACCCTACGCTAATGACTTTGTAAATCAAAGAATCAGTGCCGAAGTGGTTCCTACAAGTGGCTTCGTGGACTTCTCTTAAAACATAATCGGTGTCCCCTGGCCCTAAGCACGCCGCCAATGGTCCATCAAAAGTCCTCTTGTACAACGTTCCATCTTCATCTAATGTGAATTGGTGACTTTGGCTCGTAGGGCTCTTGACTCTTTAGGGTCCATTGGTAGCTTTCCGTTCTTTATATATTCAATATATTTATTCCTCCAATCCCAGGTCAAGCTTGTAGAGTTTATCTCGGCGTGAACCTCTTCGACCACATATCTCTATAGCTGGACGACAGTCCCCGGGATAATATCATCTTCTTCGATTGATGACCCCAAATTTGCAAGTGCATCGGCCTCACTAATTTGTTCTCGAGGCACATGGTCTAGAGTCCACTCCTTGAAATGGTGCAATGTTACATGTAGCTTGTCCAGATACCTTTGCATTCTATCTTATCAAACTTCGAAGCTCTTGTTTACTTGGTTCACCACCAATAAAGAGTCACACTTGGCTTTGATGACTTTTGCCCCTAAGCTTTTATCTAGCTCGAGACCTACAATCATGGCCTCGTACTCGACCTTATTGTTAGTCAACCTAGAAGTCTTGATATATTGTCTGATTGTGTTACCTGTGGGTGGCTTCAAGACAATGCCAAGCCCGGACCCTTTCACATTCGAGGCACCATCTGTGAAGAGGGTCCATACCCTCGATGATGTACCCGATTTTAGTAGAAGTTCCTTTTCCACTCCGGGTACGAGTGTTGGCATAAAATCAACCTTGAAGTCTGCTAAAATTTGAGACTTGATAGCCGTTCGGGGTTGATATTTGATATCGTACCCGCCAAGTTCGATGGTCCATTTGGCCAATCAGTCTGACAACTTGGGCTTGTTCAAAACATTTCGAAGTGGATAAGTGGTTAACACACATATGGGGTGATATTGGAAATATGGCTTTAATTTTCTAGACACAATTATTAATGCAAGTGCCAATTTCTCTAAGTAGGGATATCTAGTTTCAGCATCTCCTAAGGTCCGACTTACGTAATAAACAGGGAATTGTGTACCTTGCTCTTCTCGAACTAGTACACCACTTACCACTACTTCGGACACTGCCAAGTACAAATACAGCATCTCATCTGCCTTCGGAGTGTAGAGCAGAGGTGGGCTCGACAGGTATCGCTTCAATTCCTCCAATGCATGCTGACATTCCGGGGTCCATGCGAAATTATTTTTCTTTTTGAGTAAAAGAACATGTGGCTCCAATCTGGCGATCTCGAAATGAATCGGTCCAAGGCATCTATCTGTCGGTTAGCCTTTGTACGACTTTTACACTATCCACGACAATGATGTATTCGATGGCCTTGATTTTATCAGGGTTGATCTCGATCCCCCTATTCAACACCATGAAGCCTAGGAACTTGCCCGAGCCGACTCCGAAAGCACATTTCTCGAGGTTGAGTTTCATGTTGTATTTACTCAAAATCTCGAACGTTGCCTACAAATGAGCCAAATGGTCCTCTGCACGAAGGGACTTAACTGGCATGTCATCAATGTAAACTTCCATTGACTTACCTATTTGTTTTTCGAATATCGTATTTACTAGGTGCTGGTAATTAGCTCCTGTATTTTTTAGTCCGAAGGGCATTGCATTGTAATAATATGTTCCATACTTGGTGATAAATGAGGTCTTTTCCTAGTTCTCCAGGTTCATCTGAATTTGATTGTACTCGGAATAGGCATCGAGAAAGGTAAGGATCTCGTGGCCGACCGTGGCATCGATCATACGATCGATGTTAGGCAGTGGAAAAGAGTCTTTAGGGCATGCCTTGTTCAAATCTTTGTAATCCACACACATTCTAAGTTTGTTCCTTTTTTTAGGGAAGATGACTACATTGGCTAACCATTTCGGTGTATTTTACCTCCCTAATGGACCCTATTTTGAGAAGTTTAGCTACCTTGTCCTTTATGAATGCATGTTTTACCTCGGACTAGAGCCTTCTCTTTTGTTTTACTGGTTTGATCGTGGGGTCAAGGCTAGTGGTGGGCATCGGTCAGTTCGGTTCGGTTATGAATATTATCTGTTTAGCATATTGGTTATCGGTTTATAAATTTGATAAACTGATAACCGAACTGATAAGATATCGGTTATCGAGTATCGGTTAATCGGTTATCGATCATTATCGGTTCAGTTATTGGTTTACCTGATAAGATAACTCAAACTAGAGTTAAGCAAAAAAGAGAAGACAATTCACTAGAGTTAAGCAAAAAGAAGAAGAATTCACATATAGTATACTACCGATTTCTGCATTCTGTCCAGTGGCCACAACTGGAAAGTACTAATTCTTCAACAACAACTGTCCAAATATATTAATAATAATACAAAGTAGTAGCGATTCACCTTAAGATTAATAAGTTCAAACATATAGTACTAATAGTTCAAATTCAAGTTAACAAGTCAATAACTACTCAATCCTTATAGGCTTCACCAAAAAATCAGTGGATAAATACTTATCAAACTGCAGAAATTCCTACAAAATGTTCCAAGGCAATAGCTGCCTCCTCTGATATAATAACAACAATAGTTGATTTAGAATTTTTATTTCATACAATACCTGCACTACCACAAGCATTAAAGCCCTCAAACAGTCCAAGATAAACTGGATGTTGTTTGTCAAATGCCTACCCTG